TAATTTATCACTATATGGATGATATCCTATTAGCTGATCCAAAGTTAGATACATTAGAAAGCATGTTTGAAGAAGTAAAAAAAGTTTTGCCTCGCTGGGGACTGCAAATTGCTCCTGAAAAAATACAAAGAGGAGATTCTATTAATTACTTAGGCTATAAGACAGAGCTACAAAAAATTAGACCCCAAAAGGTACAACTAAGGAGAGATCGATTGAAGACTCTTAATGATTTTCAAAAGTTATTAGGAAGCATTTCCAACTTACTGGGTATCATGGGAATACCCAAAGATGGACTACAAAATTTGGCTAATACTCTAGAAGGGGACAAAGAATTAAATAGTCCAAGAGAATTATCAGCCGAAGCTGAGAAGGAATTGGCTCTAGTAGAAAAGACAATTCGAGAAGCACATGTGGATCGTGTGGATCCAGAACTTAAATGCATTCTTGTCATATTCCCCTCCAGACATTCCCCAACAGGTATTTTGGGTTTTTTTTTTTTTTTTTTCGAGACAGGGTTTCTCTGTGTAGCTTTGCGCCTTTCCTGGGACTCACTTGGTAGCCCAGGTTGGCCTCGAACTCACAGAGATCCGCCTGGCTCTGCCTCCCGAGTGCTGGGATTAAAGGCGTGCGCCACCACCGCCCGGCTCAACAGGTATTTTGATGCAGAGGGAAGATATTATATTGGAATGGATATTCCTACCATGTAAACCAAATAAGAAATTAAAGACTTATATAGAAAAGATCTCTGATTTGATTCAAAAAGGTAAACTAAGACTTCGCCAGTTGACAGGAATGGACCCAGCAGAAATTGTAGTACCTTTAACTAATGAGGAAATTTCATCACTATGGAAAGATAATGAATACTGGCAGAGAGCCTGCAGTAACTTTTTGGGAGAGATTAACAACCACTATCCCAAAAGCAAGAGAATAGAATTCATAAAGAAGACTGAATGGGTCCTTCCTCACATTGTACGACAAAAGCCAATTTCTGGAGTCCTCACATTCTATACTGATGCAAATAAATCAGGGAAAGCAGGATATAAATCAGGAGACTTAAGTAAAGTGGTACAAAGTCCATACAGCTCTGTATAAAAGGCAGAACTGTATGCCATTCTTATGGTACTGATGGACTTCACAGAACCCCTCAATATAGTCACTGACTCTCAATATGCAGAGAGAGTTGTTTTACATATTGAAACTGCTGAATTTATTCCTGATAATACAGAATTAACTTCATTATTCATACAATTGCAGGAAATCATCAGAAAAAGGGAACATCCTATATATATAACACATATCAGATCCCATACAGGTCTGCCAGGACCTCTAGCACAAGGTAATGATGAGATTGATCAGTTACTAATAGGTAATGTGCTAGAAGCCTCAGAATTTCATAAGAAATACCATATAAATAGCAAAGGTTTGAAGAAGGATTTCTCCATCACTTGGCAACAGGCTAAGGATATTGTGAAAAAATGTCCTACTTGTTCCATCTATAACCAAATTCCATTACCTGCAGGGAGCAATCCAAAAGGTATACAAAGAAATGAAATTTGGCAGATGGATGTGTTTCATTTTGCAGAATTTGGAAGATTAAAGTATGTACATCATACCATTGACACCTATTCAGGATTTCAATGGGCAACTCCTATGAGTTCTGAAAAGGCTGATTCTGTGATTACACACCTATTAGAAGTTATGCCCATCATGGGAATACCTGTACAAATTAAGACAGACAATGCCCCAGCATATATCTCCAATAAAATGAGACAATTCGGCCGGGCGGTGGTGGCGCACGCCTTTAATCCCAGCACTCGGGAGGCAGAGCCAGGCGGATCTCTGTGAGTTCGAGGCCAGCCTGGGCTACCAAGTGAGTTCCAGGAAAGGCACAAAGCTACACAGAGAAACCCTGTCTTGAAAAACCAAAAAAAAAAAATGAGACAATTCTTTGCTTATTACAACATAAAGCATGTTACAGGTATACCACACAATTCCACAGGCCAAGCAGTCATAGAAAGATCCAATCGAACTTTAAAGGATATGCTAAATAAACAGCAACAGGTAACAATGACTCCTAGAAATAGATTGCATAGTGCTTTATTAACCTTGAATTTTCTCAATGCTGATGAGAAAGGAACAACAGCTGCAGAGAGACATTGGACGACAGACAAAACTCCTGAACTAAACCAACAGGTTTATTTCAAGGATGTGCTGACCTCAGAATGGAAACCTGGATATGTTCTACGTTGGGGAAGGGGTTTTGCCTTTGTTTCTGCAGGAGAAGAAAAGCTATGGATACCAACAAAATTAATAAAAATTCGATTCGAACAGGAAAAACCCCTTGATGAGGAGAAGTAAAAGATCATCCACCAATGTGACATCTCTACAAGTTGTAAGAAAAATTTAACAATCAAAGGTTGGGGTAGGGTTCTGTTTTTGTCTTTCCAGGATAATGGAAACACCCATCTTCCAAAAATCATAAGGCCTTGGATATCTGGATGTTTACAGCAGAAAGAAAGAATCTATTGGTACCAATCTACACACGGTAAAATCTCACTGTCTAACATCTATCTCTCTATCAACCTAGAAAAGTTGTGGTTCCAATTCAATTATAAGCCAAGCTGGCTTTGGAGATGGAATTGGCTCACTCCTTCTCTAAACCCAAGCATATTGCTAAAAGAAAAGTTTGAGAGATTCTTCAGTCCCATATCAGAAGAGCCCTCTGGTGTGGGACAGAAGGAAACCAATAAAAAGGGACCATTGTCTTCTAGATTCTAATTCTCTCCATGCTTACTCTTGATTTCTCAGAATCCTTTCTTACATGCTATGTCCTCTTTAAATCCAAACCTTCCATTTTGATAACAAATAAGTTTTTCCAATAGCAATCTCGGAAGTCTCCAGAAGGAAGATGGGGCCCCAACAACAGCAACTCTACCCAATCCAGAATGATGCCATGGTAATCATCATCATACTACACTTCTTGCCAGAATTTCAGACAATCTTACCCATTACTCTAAGACTTGCTGCAGAACCTACAGTTAGTCTAACTGAGATTTAACTATCTGACCTTTCTCACAGTACCCAACAGAGATAACATTACCCCCTAAACAGCAGGAAGCAATTCTAAGAAAACGACGCCCCTTCTCCCTTAGGTTTCATAATTCTCAGGGTTATGGATGATGGTTATAGGGTTGGGGGTGGAAGAAAATATTAGAATCAGTATTCTAAAAAAAAAAAAAAGAGAGAGAGAAAAAAGGGAAAAGAAGAAATGGAATGGATAGGTATAAGATATTATGGTAGATTATTGTATATACTAGTAAACAAATTTAGTAAAATAGCAGCCTTAGATAATTTGCACTGTAATTTGTACTGTTATGGATTCTTATATGTTGATACAAATGTAAACTATTTTTATATTCCTGTTTAAGATAATTTGTATATTGATACAAATACAGAACTATATTTGTTAATAATGTACATATATTTCTACTCTTATTTGAAATATTTGTATATTGATACAAATGTAAATTTATATCTGTCATACTTTATGTATGTTCTACTTCTGTTTAGGATATTCGGTATATTGATATATATTTAAGATTATTGTCATATTGCATATTGCACTATATATTCCTACCTCTGTTATAAATATCTTGTGTATTGTTACAATTTTGAAGTCATTGTTCTTTACCATACATTTGCTTATAGACTGTTTACCTTGTTTATGTGAAGCCTTAGTCCTTAGGTTATTTAGGTAGATAAGACTTATAGATTTATAGTCACCTATGCTTGTCATCTCTATAGTTACGTTAGTTAGGTTATCCAGATTTACGGATACATAGGTCAGATGGACAGGTAATCTTCAAACACTTCATAGACCTAGAGAATATGGCATTTAAATAACTTAGAATTCTGTTGATGTGAGACACAATTGCTCCTGGCTGCACCAATTTGATCCCGAGAGAATGTTGGGCTTCTAAGACACTTCCATTTGGAAGTTTGTGTTCTTGGCACAAAATGGCCTACTGGGCAAAGAAATGCCCTTGCCTCGACGGCTGACAGTACAAATGCAATGCTGTCCTTTCTGGACAAGCGGGACACAAGGAAAGTGACCACTGTACTCTGCCAAGACAGGGTAAGATGGTCTTTCAGAATTCCTGCTTCTGAAAATGGTCTGTCAGATACTTTAGGCCTGTAGCCAATTTGAATGCACCAACAATGCTGAGAAACATTAGGTGACTGTCCAGGCTGCCAGCTGTCTCGGTCTACTCTTGCAAGATTCCCGAAAGTTGCTTGCATCCATCTACCATTTCTCAGGTACCATTATATTCCTTCTCAGGTCTTTGATGGGATTGAAGACTAGCAGTTATAGTTACAACTTAGTAGATAGAACATATTAAGTATTAGATTCAGGTTCTTTAGGATAGGACACCTTTTGGAATGATCTTTGTAACATGCCATTTACCTATGCTCTATACTTCTCTGGATTTTAGTATGTGTTTCTTGCTTGATATTGTTTGCATTGGTTGTAGTTCCATCTTATCTAGGTCATTATCCTTCATTATTCCTGGACAATATTTGATAACCATTCCTTTGTATATAGTCTTGTATTAGGTTAGAACTTTCTTATTTAGACAAAAAGGGGGAGATGTAGTGGGTAGCCATTCCAGCTTTGATCTGGAAGTTCCAACCCCCATTGAGACTTTGGCAACTGTCACGCCTACAAGGCAGGGCCAAGGGAGGCGCCTGGAGACCCAAGATCTGGATCGGCCAGTGCTCTCTCTGTTCCGGGACCCTGGACGGTGGAGGTGGGCCAAGCAGAGCTCCAGAGAACACCACTGGACTGCGATACACCTTCCCCAGACCCCGCGACCTACCTATCCCTTAATTTGTAAGTTACGCCATTAAATAAATCTCCTTTTGACTACGTGGAGTGGCCTTAATAATTTCACCAATAAAAGAGGATGGAAAAATGGGTTATTTCAGAAGTGATTAAATACCTCTGGTAACTGTTCTTGGCATTTTCGTTCTGTGGTGCCCAGCAATGATGCCTTCCACAAACAGGTCAATGTCATTACTTGTCAGAATAATGTTTCTTTAACTTTCAATCTGTAATTGGAAGGCAGAGTCAGATCATTTAACTGGGAGGTTGATTTTAGAAGTTTTCTTTACAAAGACTGTAACTCGTGGTGGCGCACACCTTTAATCCCAGCACTTGGGAGGCAGAGCCAGGCAGATCTCTGTGAGTTCGAGGCCAGCCTGGGCTACCAAGTGAGTCCCAGGAAAGGCACAAAGCTACACAGAGAAACCCTGTCTCAAAAAACCAGAAAAAAAAAAAAAAAAAAACAAAGACTGTAACTCGTCTTGGCTAAATATTCAGGTTAAAACACTCAGACATGCTTTTTAAGGGTTATATTTTATTTCTTGATGGGTATACCTAGAATTTTCATCATCAGAACCAAGTATGTTCACCTCCAGTCTCCACCGAACACCATAATCTCACCGCAACACTCCACTGTGTAGAAGCCTCTCAGGAAAGTCTTCACTCCTTTGTCTGGCAGAGAAAGTTCACACCCTTTCACTTCTATGCTCAGAATCTTAATCTCCCTAATTCACTCCAAGTAAAGGCCATGTCCTCACACAGCACTAAAATCCACGCTTCTTCCTTTCTGACTTGTCTATTCTGCTTTGCTCAGGCCTCCTTTGTGCTTTTAGAATATGCAAGGCATGCTCCCTACCTCAGTATTTCTACATGTCCCTCTTTCTGGAATGCTCTTCCTTAGGAAATCTACTGCCTTAACTATCGTTAAACACTTCCCCAAATTTCCTTTTCAGGGAAGCCTACCCTGGTCAACCTATTACAAGCCACAAATCTTTTTTCCTGCCATATGCTAAATACTGTTTATCTGCTCCACTTTCTTTTTATTCTCTGGAACTTGGCAGAATGAGCGTAGTACATTTATTCTGTACAGGCCATCATTTTCTGTTGAACAATTTTCCAGATGACAATTCTAGCTAGCCCAAGGATCTAGTCCACTGCCTGACCCTTGAGCACAGGCATTGGACAGATAGTTGCTAAGTGCCACCTTACCCCAAATTTGAGCAAACATTAAAGGAGCAAAGAGATGCTACTGTTAGTATTCTTCTTTCAAGTACCTTTGGACCCTTAGTTGGGGCCCTTTAATTGCTTTTAAAGGGGGTTCCTCCTTCAAATGATAATTAGAATTGTCTCTGAAAAAAACAGAAATATAACTAAATGATTAACTGCCCCAAATCAACATTTACTTTTTCCTAAGTTTCTTTTAAGCTCACCAGTGGCTGCTGTGGTATATGATATGTAGAGTGCACTGAATAAATTCAGTTTAATAATGTGTGTGGCTTTCCTATCTTGCTAATTATAATGAAAGTTTTATGTACAGAATAGGAGTAGTCACTTTTCAAGACTGCAGTATCCTAACCAAGTCTAGAAATTGGAATCTGAACTTATTGATAGAATTCCTGGCCAGTCTCTCAGCTACATGACTGCACATGCGTTGTCCAGTACCCAAACAAGAGGCTTTGTCATCCCAGGGCCTTATGTCCTATGTAATCCGTGTGCTGTGTGGTCATGTAATTTGCTCAGCGTGATCATGTAATCTATGAGCATGCCTGACGTAGCTATGTAAGCCCATATGTACACGTTGCACGTTGCGGGGAAATCCATAAAAAGCGGGTCACAGACCCCTCCCTCCTCTCTCTCCCTGCACCATCATTTCCCATAGGCCTAAGCACCCCCTTCCTGTCTCCTTCCTCTAATAAACTCTTATAGTGGGTTTTGTTGTGCCTCGTGGCTTTTCTCGAATGGTAAACAGTGCCGCTTAATGGGTAACACAGCACCGCATAATAACTAACACTTACCATTATTTTTTTTAAATCTGGGCATAGTGGCAGGTGGATCTCTTTGAGTTTAAGGCCAGACTGTTCTACATAGTGAGTTCCATACATATGGAGACACAGTCTCAAAAGATAATAATAATAATAATAATAATAATAATAATAATAAAATTTAAATCTAGAATATCCAAAATCCTAAATCATAGTGATGCAAAACTGGTTTAACTGTAGCGGTCATATATATGTATATATTGTGTGTATATATGTGTGTAAATTTACACACATATAAATGACTTATATTCGTTTCTGTGCTTCAGAAATCTCTTTAAAATTAGTGTTAAATAAGACTTTGAAAACTGGCCAACTTTCCAGACAAGATACGTGGCCAGAAAAACAATAGATTATAGGTAAATGACTTAGCACTACTTCATTCCCAAAACATTTTGTGCATTATTTGAATTCCCACTGGAAAAACTTAAGACAGGAAAAACGGCTTCTAATGTAAGGATAAACTTAGCTATTCCCCAGGAGCCTAAGATTTACGGACTACAACTACAACGTGTGTCTGCGAGGTGAGGCGGCGGCTTTGGGACATGTGCCTTGCTTTACTCAGCACACTGGGAAGCCACTGCTCTGCAGCCCTCCTGCCCAGGAGGACGCCAGGCTCAAGCCCCCGCCCGGTCCACCCCGCCCCCACCCGCCCGTCGGCGGGCGCGTGCCCTCGAGCAGCTCTGAGGTGGAAAGGCCGCAGGACGGTTGGTCCAGTGCGTGGAACCCGCGAGACACTGCTCCCGTCCCCACCCTCCCTGCCCTTCCGGCCCACGGGGCCCACGACCCTCCTCACCGCGCTCCCCTCCACACAACGCGGAATCCCAGGCAGCCCAGCGCGCAGAGCACTCTTTTCTTCCCATTGGGCGCAATGGCCGTCAATCACGGAAGCTGGTAGGCGGGCTTGCGCTCCGAGCGCGGCCTTAGCAACGGCCGGCTCCCAGCGCGGCCTTAGCAACGGCCCTCCTCGAGCGCCAGCCAGGAGGGGGAGGGCCGCTGTTGCGCTACGCGGCTCGGACGGGGGAGCGGGTTGGGGCCATGGTAAGTGCTATGGGACCCGAGTGTGGCTGCCAATTTACTGATTTTCCTGTCAGGATCCTTGGATACCCTTAGTGACTAAGCCAGGGGACAGCAGGCCACCAACAGCCAGAGGGCCATCAACTCAGCCGCAGACGGGAAGGGACCACTGACTGAGCCACTGAGGGTCAGGGGGCCACCAACTCAGTCACTGAAGAGGGCTACCTACTCTCACTCAATGTGAGGTTGAACTGTTGACCTTGTGTACATCCTACTTCACAAATGAGTCTGTCAGATATGCTAAGCCTATAGGCTGAAGATGATGCCCCAGCACTTCGGAGAAACCTCAGGTGACTGTCCAGACAGCTGTCTGTTTCTGTCAACTCACAAATTTTTTGCAAGTTGCTTATGTGCACTTCCTGTTTTTATTTTTGTTAGCTAATATTATTTCCTTCTTGGGTCTCTGAGGGAGTTGAAGATTAGTTAGTTATAGTTGAAGGTTAGTTAGTTATAGTTGAAGATTAATTAGGATACATTTTGGACTTACCAAAATAGGATAGATAATGAAATTATTTTCTCTGAATTTGTCAAATACAAATGGACTAGACATTGTTTAGGTATTTATTACTTGTATATATTGTATATAGTTATTGTCCTTTTGTATGTAGTTTTTCTTATATTAGTTATAAGCTTTTTCTTTTTTTTCCTTTTTATTAAAATAGAAAAGGGGAAAAAAAAAAAAAGATAAGGGGGCCACCTACTTAACAACTGAGGGTCATCAACTCAGGCGCTGACAGGAAGCGGGGCGCCTAGTTAACCACTGATAATTAGAGGGCCAGCAACTCTTTCACTGAAGGGAAGGGGCCACTGACTCAGTCCTGATGGTCAGGGGTCCACCAACTCAGGCCACTCACAGCTAAGGGACCACTGACTTCTTGCTGAGAAAATGCAGACTCAGAAGGCTGCCCTCGGATCTAGGACGACCACAGCCACTAACTAATATAAAGCAGGCCACTTAGATCCGCAGTCACCTCCAGGGCTTCCTCACTTCCACCTTCAGAGAGAAGAATCTGTAGTGGTTCTGTGACCTGGCTGGGTGACAGAGAGAAGCGAACAGTAGAAAGGACCGTCATCTTCCACTCATTAAGCCAAACGTTCTCATCCAGATCTGTGGAGTAGCTGTTCACCAGAACCGTGCTTTTTCACTTTGTGCTCCTGTAGAATAGGACACTTGCTAGTGGAGAGTGGGAGAGGATAATTGTGTTCTAGGAAGCATTCACCACCCCCACCCCCATGTACTGTGATACGTATATGAAAAGCACACATTCCTTAAGTTAATACTTTCCTGATAAACCAGGACTAACTGCATTCTGATACAACACCACACAGTTCTATGCTGTCTTCCTTCACTGCTTCTCTCTTCAAAGGCGCTAGTTTTATAAGGAATATCTAAAAGAAAAAAAGAACACCACACTTTCAATCAAGAGATTAATAATCATACTCAGGAGGCTGAGGCAGGAGGACTGGGAGTTCCAGGCCAGTCTGGGCTCCATAAGGAGACCCTGTCTCAAAAGACAAAACAAACAAACAAAAAAAGATATTAGTAACCAAAAGCATTAACAAGGGGTTGGGGAATGAGCTCATTCTATAGAAGGAAATGGGATACTTGAATATGTGCACTCTAGTTATATAGTTTTCATCCACATGTATATTTACTGCAGGCATCCAGCCATCGAACAACTTTAGACCAATGGAAGAAAAAAGCAGCGAAACTTGAATTGAGTGATGCCCAAAAACAAGAAATAAAAGAGGCCTTCGACTTATTCGATGTTGACAGTTCTGGAACCATAGATGTGAAAGAATTGAAGGTTCTGAAATTATTTCTAAGACATTTGAAAAACCACACTACTCTCTCTCTCTCTCTCTGTGTGTGTGTGTGTGTGTGTGTGTGTGTGTGTGTGTGTGTGTGTGTGTGTGTGGCTTGGGGGGATAGAACCCAGGGCTCTAACTCTAGGCTTGCCCACAGCCCATAACCGTAGTCTTCTGAAAGGTATGTATGTATACCTGCCCCGAGTCAACAATACAATATCTTTTAACATTTTAGTTGTGTCCTTGGTTGATGGGTAAGTCAAGACCCAGAATTATCAAGGTTATGGACTCTGTCACAGTAGGATCAGCTCTGATTGTGTTAGAGAACAAAGAAGCTATTAATTAGTAATTTAAAAGTTCAAGGTGAGATGGCATACTAAAATATATCCCCTTCCTGTTGCAGATTGCAATGCGGGCCTTAGGATTTGAGCCAAAGAAAGAAGAAATCAGACAAATGATAGCAGAAATCGACAAAGAAGGAAATGGCACCATTTGTTTTGAAGACTTTTTTGCCATTATGAGTGTGAAAATGGTACAGTCACTCTACTTGTCAAAGAAATGCCTTCAGAGTCTTGTACATGGCTGGGGCTGGAGCATTGGGATTTCTTGGAGGAACTGGAACTAGTTCTTTAAGGGTGGGTAGGATAGAATAGCACAGCAAGAACAGACGTTTTCGGAGTGGTAAAGATTGTAGAGAAGGGTTCTATTGGAGGATTATTAAGGCAACTCCATGTAGTTAAAAGGGAAGTTTATTTTGGGGGATAACTTACAACAAGTAAAGGGGTAGGTTACAGGATCCGGGAGAGGTGAGGTGCAGTCCAGCTGGGTTCTCTGGAGAACTCCACTCAGTCTACCATCCAGCATCCAGGATCACCAGGAACAAAAAGAAGCCGGCATATGTGGATCTCGGTCTTAAGGGCTCCCATCTTGGCCCCGCCTCAAGGGCAGGTCATAGGTAGGCGTGACAATTGCCGGAAGCCTCACTGAGGGTAGTACTTCTAGGTCAAAGCTGGAACAGCTACCTACTACAGGGTTCTGTCAGGACATACTGACATCTGGCAAGATGGAAGGAGCACACACACCACGCCTTGGACCTGGCAATCACTGAGTGCCTCCTTTTGCCACTGTTCCTGAGAATACCCCCTGGCTCTTGGAGCTTGCTGTCTTACGTGCCTCAAGGGCAGGTGTGAGTATGTTGAAATAATTGTTACAAGGGCAATAGACTGAGAACTCAGCCTCCTGGTACAAATGTGCACGTACAGCTCTAGAATTAATAGCCCTACTAAGTCCAGCTTGATGGAACAAATAAAAAATTTAACCAATGACATTTCATTTTCTAAAGAGTGAAAAGGATGAGAAAGAAGAAATACTGAAGGCTTTTAAATTATTTGATGACGATGCTACTGGCAGTATATCGCTAAATAACATCAAGAGGGTTGCCAAGGAACTAGGGGAAAACTTAACAGAAGATGAATTGCAGGTAAATATTGTTTATTTTATAATTACAATGTGTGTATAATTTTATATGGCTTATATAACTTAGTTGTATCTACACAGTAAAAGCAAAAAATTCCTGGTAAGTTTCCATTATTATACATTTTTAATAGTTTCAGTCTATCATGTCACATTTTGTGTTCCAGGAAATGCTCGATGAAGCAGATCGCGATGGGGATGGAGAGATTAACGAGGAGGAGTTTTTGAGGATGATGAGGAGGACCAGTCTTTATTAGCTCTGCTTCTTGCCTTCTAGGAAGTTTTGACAGCGTGCCTGTTAAGCAGTTCAATAATGCGATACTTTGGCTCATTCATTTCCATTTTTAGTTTATATGCTCAGCTTAGTCTCTTGGTGTCTAATCTATGCAAGAACATCATTAAGTCTGTAGTAGCAACAATAAAAAATGCATGACTTATTTGAAACTTGAACCCCCAAACAGTATTTTTACATGCTATTTTTAAAGCTCTAGGTTCCAAAGACATTCAAAATTTATTTTTCAGTTAATAAACTTGGCTCCCACATCCAAATGAAATTGTTTATAAAAAAATCTGAAAATAATATTTTTCCATTATATCCTTTCGTATGACTTTAAAAACACCAACAAACTTGTTTTGTTAATCATTTCTTCAAATATGTAAAGTATTAATAAAATTGACTGATGTAA